TTTATCCTGGAACTCAGCCACCAGGTCTTTATTCATGTAGTAAAAAACCGTATGACATAGTGAACAGGCTTGTTGCACCTGTTTCAAAAAGTTACCCAAATGTCACATTGGACAGTTGGTTCACTGGTTACCCACTGATGTTACATTTGCCCAAAACACCAGTTGACCAGCACAGTAACTATTGTCAAGAACAAAGAGGAGATTCTTGAAAAAAGGTTGTAAGTTCACAATAGAGAAATGTATAGTACAATCTTTGAATTTCAGAGACATAACATTGGCTCCCTATGTTGTTATGGCAGAAATTCCCCCTTGCACCAAATGGGCTGTACTCCACCAGAAGCCAGAGTTTAGTGAGAACAAAGCAGAGTTTAATCTGAGGCTAGCCACCCTCACTTCCTTTGCCAATCTGGAAGCGGGCACATGGCTAACTTTGTTCCACCTTATATACATTTTGGTTTCCATTGACAACAGATTGGGGTGTTACATTCTCTGACCCCGGTGGGCATATGGTGTTTCTCTCATCCTGTTGGACCCCAGGTCAGTTGCAGGTCGAATGTCTAACCATGATAGATGTTTCCCCCCATTATCTCCTTTTTTACAACCTATGCATTCCTTTAGGGTTACAATGTTTACCTAGGGCCAGGAGATGGAACTGCCCAGGCAGGGTCACGGAGGGTCACCTAGGCCTAGGCGCCCCCTTATCTTGGGGAGACATTCCCGGGCAGTGTTGATCTGGGGAATTAGCTCTTGCATTGTCCTGGGAGGCTTCCCAAGGCACCATGCAGGCTTTTACCAAACTATTTTATCTAAAATAATATGCTAAGATTCATTGCCCCCTACAATATGGCACAAAACAAAACAAAAAACAAAGTAGTATTGATACTGTCCATATTACACCATGATGGTAAGATTGATAGTGAGGCTGGAAGTAGTGGTGTGATCTGTAATCCTGCACCAGGGGTCAGGTGTGGTGGCATGCCTATAATACCAGCACTAGGGAGGCTGAGGCAAGAGGACTACTGCAAGTTCGAGGCTAACCTGGGCTATATAGTGAGTTCAAGACCAGCCTGAACTACATAGCGAGACCCTGTCTCAAAGCAAAAACCAAAAACAAACACAAAAACCACAAAACCACACACACAAAAAAAACCCCATCAAAACAAATGTAATCCTACACTCAGGAGACTGAGGCAGGAGGATCTTGTGAGTTCAAGGTCAGTTGGTGATCCTAGTGAGTTCAAGGGTAGCCTGGACTATGTAGTGAGACCCTATCTCAAAAAAATAAGAAATAAAAAAGATAGTGAATCCTCAATCCAAACGAAGCCAGAATTGGTCACATTTTATAACAAAATGTAAGTTGGAGTAGATGTTATTGATGAATTATTCAGCAATCATGATGTCATCTGAAACACAAAGTGTTGCCCAGTGATTGTGTTTTACTTGATCCTGAACATGTCAGCTTCAATAGTTTCATAGTTTACAAAGAAAACAACAAACACAAAATATCACACAGAAATTTTCCTAGAGGTTTAGGACTGGAATTGATAAATGATCAATTACAACAGCAGTAGAGCAATATACATCTGCCCAAAGAACCCCACAAAAGAATTCTGGAGCAGACCAGTGAACAGACAGGTGAAACATCACAAGAACCTCTTAAGCAAATGGGAAGACCAGTAAGAGGTCAAGTATGTCTACCAAAGAAAACAGGAAAACAAAACACACGTGCTACTAATGTAAGTGATACTTGTGTATGGAACATGCCGTCATCATGTGTGAAGACTGCCTTACATGTGATCACTGAAGCAAAGATTATTTTTGTGATAGAGTTTTATTTGTATGTTCCTTTTTATTT